GAGCTAAAATGCGGTGCGCCTTCCTTGCTGAATGTGTCTTCTGGATGGTGAACATGGATTTGTCGCTTGCGACGTGGTCTCGAAACTCCGTTTTTAAATCATGACTTCCTAAACCTTCTAGATAAAAAAACGACCGTTTCATCTAATACCTACTAATCCGTAGTAGCAAAACGTAAGAGAAGGATTTGGTAGAACAAGAGAGGAAGGAAAGAATCTGTGATGGAATGGGATTTTCAAAGCTTTGGTGTGCAAAAACATTTCACGGATATATCTCCTGGGAGTATTTTAAGCTGATCATCATAAATTGTTTCAGGGTCTTTTTTTTTTCTTTTCGTAAATTGAGTGGGATACAGACTTAGCTCCCCAGTCAAACTGTGGGACAGGTTATTGACAGCTTGTCCTCTTGACTTCATTGGGATCCAAGTTTCACTTTATTTGAATCACAGTTTGTTGAGAGGAGAATAAAATACCTCTGAGAACTTAAATACACACATCCACGGGAATTGAATAACACACACACCCCCGAACCCCCAAAAGAGAAAGGTGTGGCTGGCCTTATTTCAAATGGTACTTAAGCATATTTAGAGCACAATCCTACACTGTCTTCTCAACAGTAAGTCTCATTTGGGGGTGGGGTGGGGGGCTTACCTCTAGGAATAGAGACTGTTGGATTGCAGCCTTAACAAGTTTATATCTTTTCAGAGTTCACAGGCTCTGCAAAACTGTAAAATTAGCACTTGAGGAAACTGCTTTTTCTCTCTCTCTCTCTCCCTATATCAATGTTGTAGATTATACCCTTCATTCTGTACACTTTTTAAAAAGCTCCGTGGGGGAGAATTTGTATTAACGATGTATATATTTTAAGCAATGTTAATTATGTGCTTGCTAGATGCTATGTGGGGTATTGTGTCTTTTATCTTATGCCTTAACAAATATATTAAATTAGTCCGGAATCAGAATATGCAAAAACCTGTATTTAAAATATATATATATATATATATACTATTTTACTGCAAAGGCACAAGATTCCCCCCCCCTTTTTTTTGAATTAAACGTTTCTATGCTTAAAACCAATCTGTTTCCGAGGATGCAAGCGTCGGCTCCTCATTCCTAAATTTTTACGATTGCTATCGTGGGTTTTGACTCCAGGGTATGGCTGCATAGTTGTTTCCAAATGTAAAATTGTGATGCGGGGACAAAAGAATAAGTAATTCGATCACATTGTTTTTTTAAAGGGCTAGCTAAGGGATTCATTTCCCCCGACTGAAATACGATGCGAAAGAGGAGTCTTGCTTATTTTTGAATACACAAATTTGTGGAAACCTGTGTAATAATGCTTCTCGCATCTCACGGCTCACTTTCACTATTAATTGACGGCAAAATCAGGTGGTGAGGACCCAGCTCTACTTTCCGGTTTGGATCTACCTCAGATTAAGCAGTTGGGTGCTAATTCATTCAAATTACGATTGAGATTGTCCAAAGTGACCAAAACAGTGTGCGATGACTTGTCATTGGAAGACAAAAGGACAATTGGGACATTTCCCTCTTTCTTAGAAAACAACCTACGGATTATTTTTTGTCTTTGTGCCTTTTACGTTGTGAGTCCCAATGCAAAGCAAAATCAAGTCAAAAAAACTCCTATCTTAGAAGGAAATCCTCACGTCAGAGTAAAACTGCAAACTGTCGGATTTCTGAACACAGAAAGCATATTTTTTTTATTTTTATTTTTTGCATATTGAAACTATAAAAATGTATAACGTAGTAGAATGCTGGTGATGTGTTTTCTCGGAACTTAACAAAAAAAACCCAGATTTGGACACTTTGTTCGGCGCATGTGCTTGTATGGCGAGGCCGGTTTTGACCTAGTTGCCCAGGGTGAGGGGTCACCTGGCCACTTTCCTGTTGCTGCATTTGGAGGACCAGAATAACCTGGTCTCGTTCTTTTTGAGTCGCCTGTGTTTTTTCTCCCTTTTCGTGCGGGGGCGAAACCCACAGGAGGGTCATCATCAAGCGAGGTTGGCCGTTTCATCCAACCTGGTAAACTATGGTTAAAAGCCCCTTCCGTATGCCTGCTTCTTTCCAGTCCCTTGACCCCAGCCCTGGCTTGGATGCTGTAGAAAGCTTTAGAAAATGGCGTTCCCTCGCTTGGTCCCTCACCCAAACGGGATGGCCGAATAACCTTAGCTTATTGAGACTGGCTCATTTTGGGTAAGCCGTATGTGTGAAAATGGGCGTGTAATATGTTATATATGTGACTTGCTCATATAGACACTCTACACATGCCTGTATATAATAAGTGGGGTATGAGTTTATGTCAGGAAAAGGGGATAAAACATCAAAGTGGCATTCTGAACGATTGAACACCCTTTTAGATTGGTACTTTTGGTGGGAGATTGAGTTGTAATAGGCTATTATTATTTTTTTTTGAAATGGAAATTCGACTTTATAAACCGAAACCAATACAGCACGGGAATCTTTCCCTTTAAAAGAGGGTTAATTTTCATATTGGTGAAAGAAACACACAAACATTTTAAGGAGTTTATTTGGTTTGCTGCAGGAAGACTCAAAACAACGAGGAAAAAAACAAATGTGCTATAGAACTGCCCCGACGGGTCTCTTATTAGAAAAGCTATATTTTATAAAAGACTTAAAACCATCCTTTTCATATGCTGCAGATACACGATCAGTCTCAATGCACTTTTTCAGTCATGTCCTGTAAATTGGCTTATGGTAAAAGAATTTTGAAATGTTTTGTTTTTTTTTGATATACCATAGTACTTTGGGCAGAAGGTAAGAAGACTTACAGGTACCTCAAGATTGAAACACGAGCCTGAAAATGCTGCATTTTGTTCCTTTTATTTCATAAGAGCTTTTGGGTGGGGATGGGGGCGGGGTGGGGTGTTCTTTTGTTAGTTGTATTGTTATTGGCTACCTAGCTTATCAATTTGTATTTGTTGACTCGGCTGAAGAGTTTAGAATTGGTCTCTCTTCGCTTGGTTAGATACTCTGATCTTTTCTTGGTGTTAGTCCAAACGTTGATATCAAGTCTGCCTTGCATCCTAGACTGTTGTAGTAAACTGTTTTTTTTTTAAACCCAATAAAATTTGAGGAAAAAGGATCCCAAGGCGGTAAAACAGGCAATATATGGTCTCTTCTGATATATATATATATATACTTGCATGACCGTGGTTTGCCATAATTGAAATGGAGAAGGGCGGTGGGTTGTTTTCCAATGGGTGGAAAGCAAAAAAGTTTGATTTCTAAGAACGATTCCTTGACCAAGAATTGATCGAACAATCCAACTATAGTAAGACGAGCCTAGCTGTGAAGCTGAGCCACACTTAAAACCAAAAGCTGTGCCATGTTTGGAATTAGTATGCAAAGCCAACTTGAGCAGCACCTTGTTCTGCTGCTTAAGATACACTGTGGATCCAATTGTCTTAATGTGGACTTCTGCATTCCCCAAATGGGTTGCGTAACGCGGAGGAAAGAATTTTGGGAAGGCGAGAGGGGGGGGAGCAATCTTGAGAAAGAAGCTTCAAAAAGACTGTGAAACGCCACACCTTATTGTCCTGTTTTTAAGCTCGGGCGACTCCTTTTTCCACGTTTGTTTTACAGCTTGCTAGTAAAAAAAAACAAAAACTTTGCACTACTTCTGCAATAAGATGACAAACTAACCTTATTCTTTGGTTTCCCCCCCCCCCTTGTGTATGTGTGTGTATATATACTATAAAGTGCTACTAAAGATTTAGCCTAGTGTTTTTTTATTTTTACCTCCATACCATAAGACATGTAACAAGCTCAAAATGCTGTAAATCTTGATGAAACATGTGAATGATATTTTATAAAGTTATTTTGTATGGTTGTCAATTTTGTTTCTGCCTCATAGTATGTCAATAAATTACTCATACTTACACATTCAAAAGTATTATTTTCTGTGCCTACGACAGTCATAATCCAAAGAGCTCAAGGTAGGCAGTCTCCCTCCCCCTCCACCACACTTAACCGTCAACAACTGTTGTGACTCAACAATGATATTCAATAATTTTACACTACAGGTAGTCCTTGATTTCCAACTATTCATTTAGCGACCAAACTTACAATGGCACTGAAAAAAAGTGACTTACAACTTACTTACACCACTGCAGCATCCTCATAATCACTTGATCAATATCCGGATGCTTGGCAAATGCCATGTATTCTGGGGTCACCTGATCATAATTTGTTGGCTTCTGACAAATGAGGGAAGCCGGATTCGCTTAATAGCCACATGATTCATTTAACAACTTCAGTGATTCACTTAACAACTGTAGTAAAAAAGATCTTAACACTGGACACAGCTCACGTTAAGAGCCACCATACTTAAGAACAGAAATTCATGTCCCAGTTGTGGTTTTAAGTCCAGGAACTGAAGTCCCTGAAATGGCTGGAACTGGGCTGTGAGCCATATAATTTAGGTGGAAAAAAACACCCGCTGATTTTAAGTTTCAAGATTTTTGTGTGTGTTGTGCTGCTCAAAGGGTTTTCCCTCGAAGAACTGATGGAGGCTACAGAAGTAGGTGTGACAACATCTGTCCTCCATAAATCTATCTAGCCCCTTTTCAAAAAGGCAGCGGCACTGGTAGCACATGCCATAGTTCACAGCTTTTATCTTGAATCTATTATATTTTTCTATCAATTTTTCCCCCTTTTCTAAAGAAAGGGATTAATTTTATTGTCTCGCTGCTCAGTGCCTACCCCAGAAAGGGCACTGATTTGGTTGGAATACTCAGTCTTTTCTCTATCTGCATACATACACAAATTGACCAAAGCCTGTGCAGAAAGATAGTATATAACTCAATTATGTTACCTGACCAGAGCCTCACTTGATGTTTGGTAGGTGAAAGAAATGTTAAAAGTATTTTTGCTACCAAAAAAATAAATAAAAAAAAATTGTGTTCTTTTACTCAAGTGTTCTGCTGTATAAATGTCATCTCAAACCACACAAGGATCCACACTGATTTTTTTTTCAAATTTCCCAATATGTGTATTCATGCAAAACTGCAGGATTTTATTTACATCGGTGTAACATGACTGTACATAGGAACTGATGACATTGAAAATAAATTATTTTTTTTGTTTTCAACATGGACAATTTGAACACCAACAGATCCTAGGGTAGCTTATATACAACTATTCGTATAAACAGATCGCTCTTAGACTATTTTTTTACCAACTTACACTGAAACATTAATATTGGCATGTAAACGGAATTACCCGCTTTTAGATTTTGCCCAATGTGAGCAATGAAGATGATTGATTCTGTATTGAAAATACAGGATTTGGTTAACCCCGATGTTTCGGTATATTATAAGCACTCATCTATATTATGTATATAAGCTGACGATGAAAAACAAGGGTTTTTCTGCAAATATGTTCAGCCCCACTTGGAAGTCTTTGCCATACTCTGCAGGGTAATTGTACACAAGATGGCAATTTTAACTCTGGAAGTTCACTGGTTCAAGGATGTGACAATTCAGCTGACCACAAATCATTAAAGAGTGCTCACATACAAGAAGGTCACAAATCAACAAGCTGTGCTGTCAAGATGCTCCTTCAGCCTCACTTTCCTCTTCTTCCTCCTCCTCCTTTACCACTTTTCCTTCTTTTTCTTTTTCAAGCATCTTTAGGTATTTGCTTGCCAAGATTTTCTTGGGCACAATATCTGGAAAAGAAAATATCTTTTTTATTAGTTTACGGGAGTATTTTCAATCACTACAAAAATAATTTGCGCCCTGTACTGTCTACTGCCAGGGTTTCCACTGAACTATGGAAATAATTCTAGAGTTTGCAGAGTGAGATTGGTGGCATATACATTCAATCAATCAATATATATATTTTTTTTTAAAAAATGGTTTTTGAGCATTTGTGAGAGGACCACAATTTGGGCATCCCAATTTTTCGCTTAGCGATCTTTGATAGGTTTTAGGTTGGTAAGATACATTTTCCATTATCTTATTTTTATTACAGTCAGATTAAAAAATAATGGTACACAATTATGACACAAGAGAGATGAAATTGCCAATAGAGCCTAACACACCATTAATTTATTTGCAGGATCTACCAGAGATTTGCAACTAATTCCAATTCTCAATAGTTTTAACAATAAGGAAACAAAATATCCCCTAAAATAGATTGTTTAAAAAAAAAAAAAAAAAAACAACGAGAAAGAGTTGGGATTCTTCCTGCTCAACTCATTAATAAATAAAAATATAACCCAAAAGTTTGAAAAGAATAACATGGAAAAATTCCACACTCCCCTTTCCCCTATTTTAGGGATTATTTCGTATCAGTAACAATACTAGCAAAGTAAAGACTGACCTGCAAGGAACTGGAAAGTATCGGAGTTCTCTACTGCTTGTGACAGGTCAGTATATGTTAGGGTTTTGTGCTCGTTGCCCTCGCCATGCTTGTAAGCGTAAGTAGCCAAGTACTGAACAAACAGCTCCTAAAAGGAAAAGATCGTACTTACAGTTCAAACATATCAGAGATCAGACTATAGTTGGTTAATTACTGTTGACTGGGGAATTCTGGGAGTTGCAGTCGGGTCTAAGACAACCTGCCCTGGCCAACTCACGCCACGGGGCAAGAATTGCACCAATATCAAGGAAATGGTGGAACAGAATCATTAAAGAAAGGATGCAGAAGGAGGGACAACATGAAATCTGAACGACCAAAATTAAAATAATTTTTAAACTACTCTAACTAAATTGAATGGTTGAATTGTCCCATGGCGAGTTGTCCTGTGGCGACTTGGACACGGCAACTTGTCCCATTCCAGTTGCAGTCCACACAGACAAAAACAAAACAAAGCAGAAAACAGAACAATGGAGTTGGAAGGGACCTTGGAGGTCATCTAGTCCAACCCTCTGCTCAAACAATCCGTCCTGTAAACTCACAAAACTTGTTTTTCTCGCCATGCATGCGTATACATAATCCAAACTAGACTGTGTTGTTTCTCCGTGCCATATATGTGGGTATGTGCGTAATTCTGTATTTATTTGTCATATTTATGTAGTGTATATTGGAGGTGGTGACCCTTTGGGAGCTGAATGCAATGAAATTTCATTTTAATCTAAAGGGATTCTTATTCTGTTCTATATTCCAGAGGTCCCCAACCTTGGCCACTTTATGACTTGTGGACTTTAACTCCCAGAATTCCTCAGCCAGCTTTGCAAATTCGCCATGGGACAATTCAACAATTCAGTTTATTTAGAGTAATTTAAAAATTATTTTAATTTTGGTCATTCGCATTTCATGATGTCCCTCCTTCTGCATCCTCTCTTTAATGATTCTGTTCCACCATTTCCTTGATATTGGTGTAATTCATGCTGGCTGAGGAATTCTGGGAGTTGAAGTCCACAAGTCATAAAGTAGCCAAGGTTGGGGACCCGTGCTATATTCTCTTCTATATTCACTATACTATACTAAACTAATACTATACTAATACAAATACTATACTAATACAAATACTATAGAAATACAAATACTATAGAAATACAAATACAAATACTATACTATACAGGAGCCCCTATACCATTCCAGACAAATGGTTGTCCAATCTCTTCTTAAAAGCCTCCAGTGTTGGAGCAGCCACACCTTCTTAATGTAGTAAAATGAACAATTATTAGAATAATGATTTGACTGCATAACTGCAATAATGATGTGTCTGCATAATTGCTAGAATAATGAGGTAATGCATAATCACTGGGAAAAATACACTGAGAAAATTCTGTGTCAGTAATATGTGGCAACCAAATGCGCTTTGCACGTGGGTACTTTGTACGTAGCAAAACCTTCCACTGTATGCCCCTGAGAAACGAACCAAATGCATTACAGTGTATTATCATGTGTAAGTCCCTTTGTTCCTGAAAGGAGGGGAGTATAAAAACTGAAATCTAATCCCGCCCTCCTCGTTCAGAATTGCCTATCTCTAATATGCCTCTGAACCTGCGCAAATAAACCTCTCTGCTAAACCCCTCTGGAATTCGTAAGAGTTCTTTCGTTTTCCACGAGATTCTGGTGGCAAGCCGTTCCACTGGTCAATTGTCCTCGCTGTCAGGAAGTTTCTCCTCCTTAATTCCAGGTTGCTTCTCTCCTTGACCGAGTTCCCATCCGTTGCTTCTTGTCTTAAGGCGAGGACGTCTTAAAAGTAGCCGCGGTCGAGCGTTTCTCGGTGAATTGCATCGCCTTCAGTCTGGAGATGGGGGCCTCCAGATGTGCAGCGGCCCGAATTCCCCGTCTCTCCCTCCCTCCCTCCCAGCCGGCACATCTGGACGGTCCTCGCTTCCACAAGGCTCCCCTACCGTGGCCTTGGCGGTGAGGAAAATCGCATCCGGGTTGATGCTCGAGACTTCGGGCGAGCTCTTCATTATCACCCGGGTCCGCGACAGAGGCAGCGACACCAACCGGTTCTCGCCCCCGCCAGAAGCTCCGCTCCACCGCGACGCCATCTTCGGTTACCTCAGATCAGGGACACATGCCCTCCCCCCCGCCATCGCTTTTCCCGAGCCTCGCGGCTGGAAGCGCCGCCTCGCCTTTTGGGACTTGTAGTTTCCGCCTGCCGCTGAGCCGCGGCGGCACGGATACAAAGAACTACGAGTCCCAGGAGGGCATTGCGAGTTACGGCGCGACTAGAACGTCGGGTTGGCTTTTCACAGGAACCAATCGGAGCGCTCCGAGAGGGAAGACTACGCGTCCCAGAAGGCAGTTCGCTCTCAAAGTTCGCGGTGGGGACGTCCCAGAGAGCGAGGCGGGGAGGTAGCTTTGCCTCTGCGCGCCTCGTTTCATAACCCCCTTTCGTGGCTTAATCCAGGCCTCTAACCAACGCCCGCCAGGCTAAAGAAAAGCCTAACTAAGGTTAAAACGAATGCAGTTGTCAGGCGGCTTGAGTTTGCTTTATGACAGTTCCATGGGGAGCAGCTGGCTGTGGGTGATGGGCGTGCAAGTCGCACCTCTGAAGAGAAAAAAAAAAAACTCCTCGGGCGCTAAGTGGGACAAAATAGACGTACAAACAGGCCTCTCCAAGCTTTTGTACTAAAAGCGTCCTGAGGGGGAACACTCGCTCCCTCAGGAGAGCGACCGTTGGAATCTAACGGTCGCTCTCAACCGCCCGCCGTCGCCATGGCGACCGTTCAAAACCTTGCGTAGGCGCCGGGTGCGCATGCGCGTTCAGATCCGAGGACCTCCAGAGTTGGCGCCTGCGCAGTGAGCCCTCGCTCGCCCGCCTCGCCTTCCGTCTGGAGCGATCGACAGAAGCGGAGGAGGCGGAGCTATTACGTCGCCCCGGCAGTGGTGGGTGAGCCGCTGGAGCCCCTGAGTGGGCCGGCCGGGCGGGCGAGGGCCGGGGACGCTGGAGGGAGCCGGTGCCGGGATGGAGGGGGGGGAGCCGAGCCGCCTCTTCCCTTGGCTGGGGGGGTGTGTGTTGAAGCTCCGAAATTGCTCCCCTCTTCCTTCCGGCACCTTCCACGCATGTTTGGATTCCAGTGCCGAGTTCCTCTCGGGATGATGGGAGTTGTGGTAGTCCAAGCACGCTCCCTGGGAGCCAGATTGGGGGGAGCCTGGCCTGCAGTTTGGGCCCAAGGCAGCCTGGGGGGTGTGTGTGTCTTCCAGATGTTTGGGGCCAGGCCTCAGACGCAGGCCAAGGAGCCAGAGAGGATGGAGGCTTGAAGTCCAAAACGTACATTTTACGGATGGGTTTTGCAAATTGGGCCTCTTCTCTCTTTGATGCTTTGGAGTCGACGCCTTGCTTATTGCGGTTACTGGTGTGCCTCAAGGCCTGACTAATAATAATAATAATAATAATAATAATAGTAATAGTAGTAATAGTAATAATAGTAGTAATAATAATAATAATAATAATAATAATAATAGTTGGAAGGGACCTTGGAGGTCATCTAGTCCAACCCCCTGCTCAGGCAGGAAACCCTATACCAGGGGTAGGCAACCTTGGCTCTTTTATGACTTGTGGACTTCAACTCCCAGAATTCCTGAGCCAGCTGTGCTGGCTCAGGAATTCTGGGAGTTGAAGTCCACGAGTCATAAAAGAGCCAAGGTTGCCTACCCCTGCCCTATACCATTTCGGACAAATGGCTGTCCAGTCTCTTCTTAAAAACTTCCAGTGTTGGAGCATTCACCGCTTCTGGTGGCAGGTTGTTCCACTGGTTAATTGTTCTCACTGTCAGGAAGTTTCTCCTCAGTTCTAGGTTGCTTCTCTCCTTGATTAGTTTCCATCCGTTGCTTCTTGTCCTGCCTTCAGGCGCTTTGGAGAATAGCTTGACTCCCTCTTCTTTGGGGCAGCCCCTGAGATATTGGAATATTTGCCCTTTTGCCTTATGTCTGATATCTCTTTAAATGCAGGCAGTCCTCGACTTACAACAGCTCGTTTAGTGACCGGTCAAAGTTAACGGTGGGTCTGAAAAAAAGGGACTTGTGACCGTTTTTCATAGTTATCACCGTTGCAGTATTCCTATGGTCGCGTGATCAGAATTCGGACGCTGGGCAACTGGTTCATATATATGGCGGTGGCAGTGTCCCGGGGTCACGTGATCCGCTTTTGCAACCTTCTGACAAGCAAAAGTTAGTGGGGAAGCCACTTGACAACCATGTTACTTACTTAAATACGACGATTCACTTAACAACTGTCGCAAGAAAAGTCATAAAAAGGGGCAAACTCCATTACCAAATGTTTCACTTAACAACATACATTTTGGGCTCAATTGTCGTAACTCGAGGGCTACCTGTACACATCTTTGGGTGGACAAAGGCCGGTTGGGACATTCATTTTGGGGGCCTAAAAGAAGGATTTGAAGCAGGGCAGTGTTTCTGGTTTTGGGTGGGAAGGAAAAAGGTCCAGCTGTTCTTTCATAAAGTCCATGCTTCATCTTCCCAGAGGCAAGCTCATGTTTACTGTTCAGGCTCCTTGAGAAGCCTGCCCTGTACCACTTCTCCTGTACCTGTTTCTGGAAGATACCTCTTTCTAATTTGGTGTTGTCATTGTTGTTGTTAGTTGTGAAGTCGTGTCCGACCCAGCACGACCCCATGGACAACATTCCTCCAGGCCTTCCTGTCCTCTACCATCTTCTGGAGTCCATTGAAGCTCATGCCTCCTGCTTCAGTGACTCCATCCAGCCACCTCATTCTCTGTCGTCCCCTTCTTCTCTTGCCCTCCATCTTTCCCAGCATTAGGCTCTTCTCCTGTGAGTCCTTCCTTCTCATTAGGTGGCCAAAGTACTTGAGTTTCAACTTCAGGATCTGGCCTTCTCAAGAGCAGTCGGGGTTGATCTCCTCTAGGACTGACCGGTTGGATCGCCTTGCAGTCCAGGGGCCTCGCAGGAGTCTTCTCCAGCACCAGAGTTCAAAGGCCTCCATTCTTTGGCGCTCAGCCTTTCTTATGGTCCAACTTTCACAGCCATACATTGCAACTGGGAAAACCATAGCCTTGACTATACGTACTTTTGATGGCAGGGTGATGTCTCTGCTTTTTAGTATGCTGTCTAGATTTGCCATCGCCAATAATTTATTCAAATTATCATTGAGATTGCCCAAATTGACCAGACAGTATGTGATGACCTGTTTGAAAACAAGGACAATTTAGAAGTTTCCTCTTGGAAAACAACCTATGGATTATTTTTGTCTTTGTGCCTTTTACGTTGTGAGTCCCAGTGCAAAGCAAAATCAAATCAGACTCCTATCTGAGAAGTAAATTCTTCATCAGAATAAAACCGCTAGCTGTCAGATTTTTGAAAAAAGAAAAGAAAAATAAAGCATATTTTTTAACCACTTTCCCTCCTGTACCTGTTTCTGTAAGGTACTTGTTTCTAATTCTCTGTTGTCATAAAGACCAATAAGGTAAAATTTAATATAGCCCACTCTCGTGGGCCTGGAACAAACCAGTGGCAAACCACTTCTCCATTGTCAAGAAAACTGCATGGTTATGTCCATGAATCCATCAAAAGTCAAGCTGAACTCGAGGATATTTTTAATTTTTTCACTGAATTTAATAGAATATGGACACCAATGAAACTGATAAATGCTTGATTACATCTGGCTTTACAGTTGGGCAGTAAAATTTGGGGCAGTTTTGTATATACATAAATTTAGTCCATCTATGCTCATTGAATTGAATAAGGACTATTAGCCTGCAAACTGCTTTCATTAGCTTGCTGGGAAGGAAGATATCCATTTAGATAGGTTGCCTGGCATATTAGGAAGAGAAACCTTCAGTTTTCCTCTCCTAATTTGATCATTCCCTCCCATGAAATCCCACATACAATCTAGGTCCTCATTTAACGACCTCGAAAGGATGGAAGGCTGAGTCAACCTTGAACCCTATCAGGATCGAACTCCAGGCATGTTTTTGGCAGAATTAGTCTGCAATACTGCATTCTAACCATTGTGTCAACCTTGCAACGGTCCTGGCCGAAGCCATTTTCCTCGTTTCTGGTTGCCACAAGATTGGGGGGGGGGGAGGGAAATGGGAAGTTTTCTATTAGACTAATAGAAAACCAAGGTCATTTCTGCTTCCCTTAGCTGGAGAGGGTGATCCTAATGTTAGAAAGCCCGCCTGGATTTATTATTATTGGGAAACGTAGTTGATTGCATAGCCAGGGGATGGGAACTGTAATATTGAATTACTGTTGCTTTTGGGAGAGGATTTTAGTCTTGGTTTCAATTTTGACCGTGCCGATTCTTTGTATCCAAAAAACATGTTCTTGGAGGAAAACTCAAGCCTGGAAGTTCTGTTCTAATTGGTCTCATTTATCAGAACCAATGACACACTGCACCATCATGGCTGTTAAGGATTAGCCATCTTTGGCTTTAGGATAATGAGTTCAGTTCACCCTTACAAGATATTTTGTTGTGTTTTTCTTTCCCATCCATTATTCTTGTGTTGTGTCTTTCAGATTGGCCTGTTTAGAAAATCTCACAGATCTTTTCTTTGAAGTAACTAAACTTTATGCTCGGCTCAGAGGAATCTTTTACCAAGTTTGCCGTCTTTCTGCCGAAGAGCAAAAGTATTTCAGTAAATAATATCAGTGTAACGCAATAAAGTAAGAGCTTAGCAAACCATGAGGCATCCTATTCTTCTCTATTCCAATGCGACTAAGACTCCGATGCCGCCTACTGTTTAAGAAAATTCGAGGTTTTTATGATTTTACGTAATAGGTTTAATATTTCAGAAAGGCATCGGTCGTAAAATGAATACTTCTTAAGTGGAGAAATGCTGTACATTTCCCCTTCTCTGTTTTATTAAGTTTTATTCCTTCTGTGCTTTATATTATGTTTGCATTAGCATACTTAAGTTGCAAAATGAGCATCCCGGACTACATGCAGTGTGCGGAAGATCATCAAACTTTACTAGTCGTGGTCCAGCCAGATGGGATTGTTCCTGAAGAGAGCTTTTTTAAGATCTACAAACGAATCTCAACCGTGAGTCAGATCAACGTCCGTGACTCTCAGCGAGTTCTTTATATCCGCTACAGACATCATTACCCACCAGAAAACAACGAGTGGGGAGATTTTCAGACGCATCGCAAAGTTGTGGGATTAATAACCATCACGGATTGTTCCTCTGGAAAAGACTGGCCTCAAACTTTTGAAAAATTCCACCTTCAGAAGGAAATTTATGGCTCAACCCTTTACGATTCCCGGCTGTTTGTCTTTGGGCTTCAAGGAGAAATTGCAGAGCAAACTCGTACGGACGTGGCATTTTATCCTAGTTACGATGAATGTGAAAACGTGGAAAAGAGAATAGAAGACTTCATTGAATCTCTTTTCATTGTGTTGGAGTCCAAGCGTCTTGACAGAGCCATCGATAAGTCTGGAGATAAGATCCCACTTCTGTGTATTCCTTTTGAAAAAAAAGATTTTGTTGGCCTGGATACAGACAGTAGGTAAGTAAATTCAGTTTATATACAAAGCTTCTAAAAATTATTTGTCCCCAGGTGTGGAGAGGAGAAAATATTATTCCTGGAAGAGCTGGTGTAATTTTTTTTTTAAAAAAAAAAGAATTTGTAAAATTCGTATGCTACCAGTAATTAATTAAAGTTTTCTAACATTTTCAGTATGTTCATTCTCAGATGACATTTATTTTACACGTATATCCAGCTGCAGCCATCCAGACTTTGCAGTCTACGTGATATAGCAAAAAGTGAAAACGTGAATCATAAAACCCCAAACTGTGAAAGCACATTGTAACCAAAATAAAATACTTAAAAATAAACAGGACAAAAAAAATGGATAAATAATAATGTACTGCTGGAATATTTGTAAGGGTCAAACTGTGGGGTCCTTGGTGCTTTTTGAGCTTGCCTTTTTTCTTGAAGATGTTTCATTATTCAAGTAGGCAACATTATCAGTGCTGCTGGAAAGGATATATGTAGCTAATGTTGAATTGTGGAGGCCTTGATGCCCTCTGAGGCCTTGTGGAGCATCGTTTATTTATTAAATTTATATGCCATCCCTCTCATGATCATGTGACTGTTGGTAAGCTCTTGTTTATCTGCCAGTTTCATTACCCCACAGGCACTGATGATGTTACCTTAGCAGGTAATTGTTCTATCCCAGCCTATTGCCGTCCTTGTTAGAGGCACAAGGACCAAACCCCTGCTGATACAATAGGCTGGAAACTTTAAAACAAAACAAAATCCCTTTTATTTGGGTGACAAACCTGTCAATAAGTCCAAAACACAAACAGCAAAACTCAAGTCCAAAGGAAGGAAATAGTCCACAGGAACACGTTGCAAACAAGACNGTCCCAGGGCGTTGCCTCTCATTGCCTTCTCCTTTTACTTTGGAGTAGTCGCATAGACTGTTGTTGTTTTTCTCTCGCTACTTGACGACGTCTGCGAGCATCAATTAGCACATCCAGGTGTGAGCCTTCCGAATCTGACTCATGCTCCTCACACAGCTGAGCTTCATCAGAAACACAACTGGAGGGGCCAGGCTCTTCATCAGGCCGTGAGTCCTGTAATTCATCAGAGCCTCCCTCTGACCCTGATGGCCCCTCAACGGCCTCCTCCACCTCCTCCTCAGATTCCTCAGACTCAGCTGTTGGGAACACAGGCTGGCACGGAATCACAACAGTAGTGAAATGCCAGCAAGTAGTGTTGGGAACAAACCACGAAGCTCCACGAAACACCAAAGGCTATTTTTAACATCTTTCAGAAAACAAAAAGAGAAGGCTATTGTGGTCCTCATTGGGAGACTATTCCAGCACCCTGGCACTGCTATGGGGAAGCAGCACCTTCTGACTTCAGCTCTGTTCATTTCTTGGAAATGGGAGAAAATACAAATAATGTCCAACTGCAATTGAAGTAGGGAGTCTAGCAGGGACCCAGATGCCAAGTCAAAAAAATAACTTTCTGGGTCAAAACCTACATTTTAAAATTGTTCCCAGAAACCCAATGCAGGGTACTGAGAATAGATGTTACAGGATCCCAGCACAAGATGCCAGTAAGCATGCAGGCCACTGTATTCTGGACCCCAATTATAGTCCCTGAGGCAGTCTTGTGCAGAATCATTGTCGTATTCTAATCAAGTGGTAATATAGGCATGGGGTACCTTTACCGGTCCACTGACTAAAGCTGAACACAGGTTTGTAAAGGTTTTCAGACAATTTGGCAACTTTGATAATGACCCTACTAATTCTTGGTAAATCAATTTATTTTTGGTGAAATATATTACGTAGGAAACACATTTGAACTTGGTGGATGCCTTCTTTTCACCGTTTTTTTTTTTACATTGCTTTTTAAATTGTTTTAATTTTTGTGAGCTGCCCAGAATTACTTAGGTGAGATGGTTGGCCATACAAATTGAAATTATTATTATTATTATTATTATTATTATTATTATTATTATTATTATTATTATTATTATTATTATTATTATTATTATTATTATTATGGAATATTAAGAGACACAACTGAATTGCTTGTTGTATGATACAAGAATTGAAGGAAAAGAGAAGAGACATCCAATTTGAATACAGGCTTCTCAGTCATGATTCTTAATTTTGCTTGTGAGGAACTTCGTTAAAGAGTTTTGAAAGTTCAGCTGTACGATGTCTAAACAGATCACACCATTCACATGTTTTATGATTTATTTTAAAGTAAGTCCAAAAGTTATGAGAGAGAGAAAAAAGACTTGCTTGGTGAAGAATACATCAGCAGTGTAAACACACACACATTCTTTCTGCTAGGCAACTTGTTCCCCAAATAAGTACGTACTTTCATTTATGGATAGATTAACATTTCAGAAGCTCATCTCTTTTTCATTTACAGTACAATTTAATTTGTACCTGTTGGCCTGGAAGTGATTCTTGCTATCTTTAACATGGAATGATTTAAGTATAGCAATTTCAACTGTTATTTCAGTGAGCAAAAACGGAGGATTATTTAAATAATTTATAACTTTTGAATGAGGATATAAATTTATAGTTGGGGAATCGTGCCAAATTAACATGCTTAAAACCAGATTATTTAGTGCTCTTACTCAGCAATTCAAAGCTAGTTCAATATCTTATTTTTTTGTGCAGAGGCTGATTAATGTATTGGGAAAATACATGTCCTTGATAGTAGGAGAAAGTGGCTATAATTATTTTGTATCAGAATATTGATACTGAATAATGCATATTATGGTGATACATGCAGAAAATAAAAGCTGAGTTCTGGCAATGCTCTTCGGCCCAAAAAGTAATGATGTTTTTTTTGATTGGAATATGTGAAATATGTGAAATTGTTCCCACATTACCAAGGATTTGCAATCTGTATAATGGAATGCTTTGTATAAGTAGGATGAGAAGCATCCTTTGGTAAACTTATATCGTTAGATGTGATTAAAATGTTATGCATACAAGTAAGTACTAGATCTACATAGTTTGCAGGGACCTAGGTCAGTTGTAATGTTAAGCCATAATATAATGTGCTATTTTCTAATGTGCTAACCCATACTCTCTACTTTGATTACCTTGATTGGTTTCTTTCTTTCTTGATTGGTTGCCCATTACACTCAGTCAAAAATAAATTACATTATTTTGAGCATTAAATGTCATTCATATAATGAATATGTTCTTCCCTGCAGATAAGGATATTATGGAAGTGTTCTGTGTTTGCCTAAGTTTATTAGCCCTGTATAGATTCAGTTTGTTACTATTTACTACAGTGCTAGCACAACTACAGAGTAAGTGGCTTTTGAGAGCTTATCCTAAAGGCAGAATGCTTGCTTAGCTTCTGTGGAATGGAGCTAACCACTGAGAAAAGTTGGAGCTCAGGCTGTTGTGATAGAAATAGAAGTAAAACGCGGCTATAATGTTAATTATACAGTAGCTATATGCAACTGTGCTTTTTTTTTTTTTTTAACCTCAGTGTGTAACTCTGGTTAATTTGTCTGTTTTGATCCAAGATCTTGATAAACTTTAAGAAACTGTATTTCTGTGCAGAATTTTCTTTTAAAATAGTTACAATTCTAAGAGTTCTCTTTTCAATATGTGTGAATATGCACATATCCCGTCTCTCTCTCTCTCTCTCTCTCTCTCTCTCTCTCTCTCTCTCTCTCTCTCTCTCTCTCTCTCTCTCTCTCTAACTATTAGGTCTGTACTTTGAATTTGAGGACAACAAAATAGATGGGTGTACGCATGGTAGTAAAGCAGTAGCTCTCAAAAGCAGCTTTGTCTTTTCTTGGGATCGTGCAATTTTTCCTGTGTGTTTGGTTTAAAATGTTCCTAATAATTGTGTGCACCCCGTAGGCTTCTAAGTATTCTTATCCCTTTGAATCCAGAACCCTAGTGTTTATGCTTGCAGTTCTTGCTCAGAAATTTGAAGCTGAGTCTAACTCTACAAGTATTCTGAAATTTATGCTTTCTGATCAATGCACTTTTCTTTCTCACTTCAAAGGTACGTTCCTATTGATGATACTGCCTTGAATACAAACAACAATAAATTTAGTTCTGTAAGGATTTCACTCGAGATCCCATCTCTCCCACAGTATTCTTCCATACCTCAAAATAAACATTTTGAAATCAGTGGGGATTTTGAGAGCAGTGTTATGATGTGATTGATCACCTTTATGATGTGTGTGCATCATCTTTAAGCATTTCTTGGCATCCCGCTGTCCATGGTGCTGAAGTAGAAAATTTTTAACTTGCCACTGTTTCTTTGCTGTTCAGACCGCTTAAGAATGCATTGTACATTTTTTTGTGAATATACTATATCTTCATTCATAGATAAATCATCCTTAACAATTCTACAAAGTTGCTTCCAGAATACAGTAAATGACCTCGCAAGAGTTTTAATCACGTTTCTAAAGAAAAGCAAAGGTGGGGATTTTGTTCATTTCTAGGAAACACAAACACCCAAAAGAGGCAATTTAATTTATGTTCAGCACTAGTGTGAGAATTGAATCGTTACCCAACATGTCATTGTCAGTACCGACATTCTTAATTAGGAAGCTTTACTCTGGCTCTTATTTTCTTAACTACTGTAACGGGAATTAGATAATTTTTCTGTTTTCCACTTTATATATATATACATATATATGTGTCTTACCAATGGTTGGAAAGGGCTAGAGTCCAGGGGTAGGCAACCTTGGCTCTTTTATGACTCGTGGACTTCAACTCCCAGAATTCCTAAGTCAGCATGGGAATTCTACCCCTGGGCTAGACTAAAAAATAGCACTGAGGCACTGATACTAGCAGCACAAGGACAAGCACTAAGCCCCAGATCCATAGAAGCAGGGTCTATCACACTAGACAGGACCCAAGGTGCAGGTTATGCAGAGAGGCCTCAGAGACAGTCTGAGAAGCAAAAACATCTTCAAGGAAAAAAGAAAATCCAGTTGCCTTTTGAAAAAGCGCCTTTGGGATGGTGGGGAATAAGAAAGCTAAGATCCTATGGGA